AAAACTATATTTTCAACCCTTAAAGCAACCATGTTTTGTTTTTTTAAAGAGTGTTATTCTATACCCTTTAATAATAATAATGTTTACTAATTTCCTTTAAGTAATATTGTGTAGATATACGATCAAGAATATATTGGTGACTTTGTAAGGGTTTCACACGTCAACCTGCTATTATAAATGGCCATTTTTTTTTGCAAAATAAATGCCGGTATTTCAATATTTCTCACAGTTCACTGGATCATAGATATTCTTAGTATTGCATTACATTAAGTTAGAAAAGACAAAAAAGCGAATCTTAGAAAATATAACCTCTTGAAAAATTGATTATTGTTATCTACAATTTATTATTTCAAGATGAAAATTATGCAAGATGTCAAGGGATGTATGACCAATGTCTAGGTGATATGTTATTTTATTATTTTTTAATTCTGTTTTTAATTTTGGATCTATATATTAATATTCATTAATGCTTGGTTAGTCATAAGAGGCAGAAGGCAATTAATCTGTCAGTTAATTTAAATTATTATAGGCTGACAACTAAAGTGGTTAATCTGTTAAGTTTATTCTAACTATTGTTTTAAATGCCTTAAGTCTTAACCCTTCGAATTGAAAATGAAATGAAATGGGGTTTAATGTCCTACTGCCTTCAAATTGAAGTTCAATAATTGTATGTTTATGTCAACACCTTTTATAGTAACTAATTTATATAAAAAGACAAATGTATTATGCGCCAGACATAATTATTATATAAAAATCGTTTTTGATTTTGTTGCAAGCTTCATAAGAAATTAGGTTACATATACAATTAGTTTGGCCATCACTCCAGCCTAAATTCAACGTTAAAATTTCTGATGGTTCTCAAGACAAAATTTTAAGCAAAGGAATAATTATGCAACCTGCGATTACTTTCGCATTATTATTATGGACCGAGTTAATATGTGTACGCCTATAGCCTCCTTTCAAATTTCCATCGGGGCCAATCAAATATTCAATTCAATTATATTCTACTGGGCCAAAACAACTTCATGAACATCCAAGTAGGCTGAAACGACTCAAAGCCAAACCAGCGCCCCGTCCAAATCGACTATTCCAGATAAATAGGTCAAACATGGCTGATGTTCAGTAGCGCGATGTAAACAAACCATGATATTTCAAGAGAGAGAGGTAGCTTGATGTGAATTGGTTCCCTTGTGTAAGAAAGTAATGGGATGGGAATTCGAGGTATGCCACTAAATTTTAGCCGTTTTAATTAAAAATTGAAGAAATGGCAAGCAATTTTTGTGTCGTAGTGTCACCTGGAACAGACAGTAAGTCTACTTATATAGTATAAATACTGTCTTCAAGCATCTGAAAGACTAGCCAAATATCTGAAGTCAAATTCTAACCCAGTTCTATAAAACACAACCACACTGCCTTACTATTACCCAAAACTGACATGCTTCTTAGATTACTTTAATATCGATGAGTTACATAATTGATACTATAAAAAGTGTAAACATTTGAAAAATTTATAGGATCAGATTGTTGTCCAAATAATTGTACTTTTATCTCATGCTTTGGTAATATTGGCCATTTATTTTACAGAAATTAGTTGATTTTTAATATTGGGTGGTATTGGGTAATTTGGGGTAAATTGTCCTAATGATGTGATTTGAGGGCTTGAACAATAAAAAAAAAACCCTTTCATTTTGATATAATCAATATTTATATAAGCCTAGTAGTTTGATGAGTAAAATGCAGCATTCCGGTGTGGGAATATCATTCACTTGTCATAATATTAGCTGAGCTGTCCTTCAATTAACATTCACAGTGTCAAATGTCAAATGTTTGGATTCCGATCAAGGGCAGTCTATTGCATTGTAGGTAATGGAAGCAGCTATAAGACACTCAAATCTGATCAAAAGTAACACATAAATTAAAAGTAGGTATCAGAAATAATTAAAATTTGATTGGCTTCTAGTGCTTCAAATTATAGACTTACCCAGTATACAAAACCTGTAAGGATGATAAATTTAGTTGTTCTAGTTATTGGAAATTGTTGAAAATTAATAGATTTCATTGCATTATGATAAAGATCCTGAAATTAATTTTTGGATTTCATGAACGTAAAATAAACACAGTGTGTGTGTAAAAATAAAGGCACTTCAAAACATTTTTCATAATCTCAATCATCTATAAGATTGTTCAAAGTTATCAAGGACAATAACTCTGGCAGTAATTATCTGAAATCATTGAAGATAGATTGCAGCTAAGTTTTCCAAAAAGTCTACAAGGGTTGTCATATATTTTTTCTTCTGTTGATAATAAAAGCATTTAAAGCAATTGCAGGATGCAACATGTAGGCGGACCGGCCGATACTTTATACGACCACATTTCAATGTGGCTGTATTAAAACCAATTCGTCTCATGAACAGAAATACTATGCATAAATGTAAAGTCAATTTGATTATTCTTCATTTATGACCATGCACAATGTGTATTATAAATTTAAAGTCAATCTAGAGCATCCAACTGACCACCATTTCAATATGAGCTTATATAAAAATGAATCAGTGCCCCTAATCAAACTTTTAAGCACTTGTATCTGAAGTAAAGATATTTCAGCCTTGATCATGGCAAACTTGTTCCTACTGTGTTTTAACTGAATTAAATGGAAACATCACAAGCATCACCGATAGCAGATTTCGTACTAAAAAGTAAAAGTACTACCCTGCAAAATTATCATTAAAATCAAGTTGAGGAGATACCAGATTAGTTGATTCTGAATTTTGAATGAATTACCTTTAAGCCTTTTTTTTCTTCAGTGGTGCCACAGCAAGTCCATTAGATCTGCCGTGCCAGCTCTTAAATTCTTGTTAATTTTTTACCATTCCAATTAAAACACAGATCCTATTTTAGTTTTATAGTTCAAATTTCATTTACTTGTCTTTACTACACTAGAATCTGGAAGAGTTGTTATATTACTGGCATTTTGGTTGAAGTGAGGGATTAGCCAATGAAACAGTCTGTTACGGCGAGTTTCTGGCGTGCGATGCACGGTACTGTGGGTAAACCATTAGAAACGTCAACACTGATTGATTAATCAATGTCTGACTTCATAGGGCTAAGTCACTGGTACATGTACGACCCTTGATGTAACCTTCAAGTACAATCGGTCAGATCTTCATGTAGTGTAGGCCATCGAAATTATAAAAAACGAAACGAAATATAGATCTGTATTTTTAACAGATTGATGTTTGACAACCCATTATTAACAATGTTCCTTCTAATTCTATGAATAATTGAAATGAACAATCCCTGCAGTTTAAAAAACATATCGTTGAATATACATTAAGCAATCAGAACAATGGCACCAAGTTTTAATCAATTCCATTCTCTGCAACTGACTCTAATATTTCTATCTATGATACTTTCAGAGAAAAATATGACAAGTTATGTACATGTACCATACTGTATACTGGGAGGGTCGAATCCCAAGCAAACATAAAGACTATATTAGAAAGTCACCAATTGTCATAAATTTGTATTTTTTCGGATAATATTATATTAATATCTAATACATTTCGGTTTACTCTTTCCAAAATGTATTATCTAAATATCAACTGTAGATTATCTCCAGACTTGGATTCAAAAAGACCCATTAAAATTTTTTTTTAGCAAAATTATTGGTGGGGCTGGCTGGTTTTAACCCCTATATTGAATTTGCGATGTCGAATGCCGACTTATCTTTTAAATATAGCAAAGCTCAGTGCTTGAGCAAAGCTCTTTTCCGGTAACACAAGAGTGTAACTGAAACTGCCATAGACTGTTGGCTTCAAACAAACCAGTAGTTGAACCATTTCTAATTTGACAACCAGCAGCTTCGCTCTACTCTTGTGCAATACCTATATTATTCTATAACTACATGCAAATACAAGAAAATATCATTGCATACAGTCATTGGTTGTATTCACAAATGGCTTGGACATACTACTTTTGTCCAGATTGACGTCACTTTCAGAATTACATCAAAACTGTAATGACGTTACCACTAGACAACCACAATTTTTGTAAAAAAGAAAGAAAAATGAATGGAACCTATGATGAATTTTAATGTTAATGGTGATGATTTTTTTTTTTGTTTGTTGTTGATAAGTCTGGATCTAGTAATAATAGTATAGCTACGAGAATGTTGCTAAAAATGTTGAGATATACTGATGTGCTTGTTTTTAGCTACGATTTGATTTGTGATGGGCTTTGCTATGTGGAACTATATAGCACCATCTCTTATCTCGAAACACGGTGGGTTGAGAGATGAGGAGTGTATCACTCGTGGAATACTTGCGCAGGGATATACACTCTCTTGAACCACTGAATAACCCGAGCGGTATTCAATTGTCATTGAGTTCTGACTATATTATGACAAATCTTGAATTCATCATATTTTTATAACTTAGGAATTGAACCATCCATTTTTGGACTGATATCCATATCCCTTTCAGAGAATCAACTTTCACTGAATAATGTAGTTTACACGGGATTCAAGTTGACTCAAACTGTCAAACTCAAACGTTTTAGTATTTTTTACAGTCTTTAACATTGGTTATGATGCATTCATTTAATGTGTATGCAGACGACACGTGATCCTGTCTACGATATCACCCTTGGTGAAAGTGGACGTAAAACTCCAGAAACGAACGAACACGTGATCCATTCATGGACAAATTGAATGAATGTCAATGAAATATGATTGTAAATTGTTTTCTCTTGTATGAACAAAAAACCAAGAAGAACTAACCTCTCTAATCAGACAAATAACGTAATAATTTAGTATTCATTGAAATATTACTACATTTAAAAAAACATTTAAATTTTAAGTTGTAACTCTAATATTTTAGACAAAACATACCTTTGTTTGGAAGCGGCACGCTTAATTTATACGACATTTTTATTTCATTTTAGCGGAAGTGAACTAAACGTCACTAATCTCGTGCAGCGATTATTGATGACGTAGTGCGTAAGTTAGGAGATAAATAAACAGTTTTTGGTCAAAGGCTTCAAGATCTGACACTAATATTTTACACTTGCAGTCAAAAAAAGTAAAGGTAATTTTTGAACAAACGAAATTATACATATATGGTGTCGAAAGTTAAGTTAGTGTAAGTATTTAGGCCACATTGCATTGATCAATTGCAATCTCCTAGTCCAACGCTTTCACTTTCAGCTGAGCTAGCCTGGCAGTCACTCGATCCCTGCATAGGGACTCAGACTAGCAATTATTTGCCCATTGACTTCAATGTTAAATGACTGTAACATCACAGGCTGTAGCTTTTTGCTCAACATTCCGTTGGTTCCAATCTTTATAGGCACAATGGGGACAACATTTGGCAATCTCCTCATCATAATTTTGTAGGGGGTTGACCATTTAAATTTTTTGCTACACGGATTTGAAGTTGACAGGGGTGAAAATCTCACTTCCGACACAATGATTGCTCTGCAGAAAGACACTTTACACCCCCTATCCCTCCGCTGTAATATCATCAGTATTACCCAAAACTGCTATGAAATTGCAAATTTGGTCCCTTTTCTCCAATTCTAGACCAAAAAGTCAACCCAAAAATGCAGGAAGAGGGGAGAAAAAAATTAAGGGAAAAATTGTCTATTTATAACTTGCACTACATTCGTCCATCATGAAATAAGGGGAAATAATTACTAGTCTTAGTCCATCCATCATGAAATAAGGGGAAATAATTACTAGTCTTAGTCCATAGGCCGAGAAAGTTCATCCAGATTTTCCGGCGTGGTTCCCCCTTGTCAGTGGTGCAGGACGGAAGACCTGACAAGGAGTACAGCAGTCTCTTTCAGATGGGACGAAAAAACGTGGCCCCCGTGTATACATTGGCTTGCACGTAAAAGATCCCTTGACAGTTGGATTAAGAAAGAGTATTATTAAAGAGTAGGTCGTGCCCGTAGTGCCGCTGTCTGAGCAAACTTTCCCTCATAGCACACTGTATGGCATATGCCCGTCTTCATTAGCCCAGTTCAGAGCAGAACAGTAGGACGTTAAAGATGGGTTCCCAGAAAAGTATTTATCGGGTGGTTATTTCCAATAAAAGTATGGTAATTTTGGTATATGAAAGTAGAGATATCCAATCTTACTAGAAAAATACTGGATTCCCCGAAAAACACTCATGGAGCGTATACAGGACAAAAATGTAAGGGTTCCCCTAATCAACAGCCTGACGATTAGGAATTTCTGCACGCGTGATGTTAAAGGTCACACGCGAAAATTGAGCACTTGATGTATAAGTTGATAAACTTTATGAAGAGTTAGACGTACAACACTTTCTGAGATAAAAATGACGGAAAAAGACGCGGGTAGTGGATAATCCGAGAATTTAATTAGGATTCGATACAGTGGACTCTGTCACATCCGACATCGTACGTGATCGTTACAATATTTCGGATCACACAGCGTGTCGGAATACTGAGCTTTCTCCAAAACCGGAAATACTGTAACTTCGAAAACCGGAAGTATTTTTATATTGTAGCTTCGAATCACCAGAATGCTATTCCCTTTAAAAATGATAAACCTTTCTGTAGTTTCAAAATTTTATTACATTAAATAATTAACAATAACAATGCATGCGTACAATATATTCATAAAATCATTTACATGTAATATCAATGCATGCGTACAATATATTTATAAATATCAATGTAATCGTTTAAAGTGTTTGTAATATTAATAGTAAGCAATTAAAGACTACCTTGTCTTATGTATGCAATGAATTCTCCTCTGACTTCCAAGAGAGGTAAGTCACGTGACGTAAACATGATTCGCGCAAGGATTCTCGCAAGAGCTTACGCTGGGGATCTACAAGGATTTGCGTAAAAAAATTCTAAAAAAAAAAAAACCTCGGAGAATTGTTGAGTCCGAGTCCGAGTCTGACTATTGAATGCCACTTTCGGCTAAATTACAACAGATTAATTATTACTTGTTAATAAAGAAGTCAATCAACTTGCTTGTCGGCTGCAACAACAGTCATACCTTAGTGAGAATCGGACATATGTGGTTTTAATTGTATGGTATTGTGTTCTGTCTTGGCCTTGGTGACCTAAGAAGTCATGGTAGTTCTTTAGAATATCATTTCTCATATCTTGAGGTATGCATAGTTGTTTGACCTCTCTTTCTATTTTGGTGCCTTTCCCTCGTGGTGAATGAAGATGATACAGTATGCCATTTGTTAGTTGGTAAAAGCCTTGTTCAATTAGGATTCTTCTGGCCTTTATTTCATCTTCTGGGAGAATGTCATCTTTTAGAAATTTGATGAGGGGTTGCAATAAAACATCCTCTGCCTGAAGTTTCTGCATCTCTTCTGGCAGTATTGTCAGTACTTCCTGTATGCTTTCTAAAGGTGCTTGTTGGAGATAAGCTTGTTCCGCTGCTACCAATATTTCAGCTGTTGACATGCTCTTAAACTGAGTTTCCACATGATTGGTTGGTGTCTGCTGCAGTTGATCCTCTGTTATGGCTTCCTGACATATCTCTTGCACTTTCTTCACAGTTGTCTGATTGTTGACGTCTTCATCATCACTTTGGACAGTTACATCTTGAACTGCTACATCATAGGTTCTACGTGATAATGCATCCGCATTCGTGTGGTTCTTTCCCTTTTTGTGAATGATCTGGAACTGGTACTCATTTAGTTTAAGAGACCATCTGTAGAGTCTACCAGATTTAAATTTCATGGACTTAACATACGTAAGGGCTACATGATCTGTGTAAATCATGAATTCTGTGTTGGCTAAATAAACATGAAATTGTTTGACACCTTCTATTATCGCTAAACATTCCTGTTCAGTGATATGCCATCGCTTTTCTCTGTCATTTAGGGCTCGTCCACCATATGCAATTACAACTTCCTTGCCATCTTCATCATGTTGTCCTAATATATATCCTATGGCATTGGAGCTTGCATCTGCATGCAACAAGAACTTCTTTTCAAAATTTGGGTATCGAAGTATTGGTGGTGATATCAAGGCCCTCTTTAACATTTTGAATGCCTCATCTATTTCCGGTGTCCATTGAAATGCCACATCTTTCCGTAGCAATTGGTTGAGTGGCGCTGCTTTCTGTGCAAAGTTTTTAACAAACCGTCTGTAGTAGCTGCACAGTCCTATAAATGCTCTGACTTCACTGACGTTCTTTGGTCGAGGAAATGTCTGTACTGCTTCAGTCTTTGTTTTGTCCACAGCAATACCAGTTTTTGAGATGATGTGACCTAAGTATAAAACCTTTTGAGCTGCAAAGTGACACTTGGAAGGTTTTAACTTAATCTCGAATCCTGCTAAAAATTATAGTTAGATGGTTCAAATGTTCTTCGAATGACCTGGACCAAACTATAATATCATCAACGTACACTAGTGCTATCTTCCATGTCAGATCTCTGAGGACTTCTGTTAAAGTACGTTGAAAAGCACTTGGTGAATTTGACAAGCCAAAGGGTAGCCGATTGAACTCAAAAACACCTCTGTGACATGTGAACGCTGTTTTGTGCTTTGTGGCAGGGTCCAAGTTTACTTGCCAATACCCCGAAAACATATCTAACGTTGAAAAAATGTTAGCACGAGCCTCTCCAATGCAGTCGAACGCATCTTCCATTCTGGGCAAGGGGAAATGGATTGGTTTGGTAACTGTGTTTAAGGCTCTGTAATCAATGGCAAACCGAAGATCACCTGATTTCTTTCTGATAAGAACCACTGGCGATAACCATTCAGATGTAGACGGTTGAATTACTTGATTTGTTAGCATTTCATCAATCATTTTCGACCATTCCTCTTTCATCTTTGGTGTTGCTCGATAAAACCTTTGTTTTATTGGTTTGGCATCTCCTGTGTCAATGGTATGATAGGAATCTTTTACATTGCATGAGCCTAACTCTGACATATCTTTTGCAAAGACATCCCTATTCTGACCAATTAATGTCAGCAGCTGCTGCTTTTGATGTTCCCTCAGATCTGCCTCACTTAAATCCACACCCAGAGATTTAGCTTCTTTAATGAATGCTTTGTTTTTGTCAGCAGCGTCCAATGACTCTTGCATGACATTGACATGTGGATGCTCATCAGTTAGCTCCTGTAGGATTTCATTTTCGCACCCCCATGACAGCATACCCAACACTTGTTTACTGTTTAGGCTCACATCATCATTGGTCGGGTTTAGCAGTTTGTATGAAGCTAGACCATTAATGACATCTACTAAACATCTAGCACCCAGTACATAACATTTATTTATAAGTGTTTTATTTGCTTCAATGATGCCTATACCATTTTTCAATCCAACGTTTTCGATAACAACAGGTACTATGGCTTCCGTTCTTTTTGGAATTTTTAAGTTGTCCTTTAATTTGACCAAATACCTTGTAACTGATGATTGTTTTTCTCCAAGTGGTACAACTGTCATTCCAATCTGAAGACTGAGTGTCTGTAAATCAAAATCTGTAACTGCCTTTTGTGTTTGTAAGAAATCGACACCTAATATTAAGGAGTGGACATTGCTATCTAAAATAAGGAATTCTTGGTGCAGTGTTAGTCGCCCTATTCGTATTGGTAATGACACAATGCCATGTACCTTTGTTAGTGAACCTCCAACACCTCTAACATGTCCAGTCTCAGTTGGTTGTTGTTTATGTATGTCTTTCAATCCACTATTATTGTATTGATCTTTAGATATTATAGACACACTGGCACCTGAGTCAACTAACGCTCTTATACATATTTTCCCTAACATTACTGATATGGAACTATTTTGCTCCGCATTTACGACATTAATTGATAAATCGATGATATTTTTGTGACTTTGTTTCTTTTTAGACTGAGTGTTTTCGTCACAATACCTATTTCTAATTAACAGACTATTTTGTAATTCTTTATTATTTGGTTGTTTATAGTTGATATAATTTTGACTTTTGTTTGGAAGTTTGTTATAATGTGTAACATTTCTATGTCTGTTATTATATTTTTGATGACGTTTCCTAGCACTATCATGGTTAGTGTTATCTGATACATAAATGGGACACAAATCCATATGTGAATTTTGAGAAAACCTATAGTTCTGATATGATGAATAGCCACTATGATAATTGTAATCACACCT